CCTAAACCCACAGCTGCCTGCTTCAGGGGGACCTTTGCCACTGCCGCAGCCTTCCTCCCCTCCCCTCCCCTCCCCTCCCCTCTCCTCCCCTCCCCTCTTGCTCTATAGACAGCTGTGTCACACCATCATCTTTCATCTCAAGCTCCCCTTTCCCCCATCACTCTCAGCGGATGGCTTGGCTTTCTCTTTCATTGGGAATGTGGGAAGCAGCGCTAGGACAGACCATCTGCGCACACTCCCTGCTTACCCCATGCAGTAACCATCCACTGAGGAAAACAGGCAGGAAAGGGTCGGGAATCGCCCCATCCACGACTCAGCCCTCCTGGCCTCACAGCACTGACCGCTGCACAAACCAGCCTGCAGTGGCTGGGATCCCTGTTGAGCATGTCCTCCCACTCGTCACTGGCTGCCGAGCCTTCGCAGAGGAGACTTGAAATTGGCACTAACAGCCAGATACCGAGCTCACGTCTGTCATCTCAGGACTTGGGAGGCCAAAGCAGAGGGAGCCCCATCAATTCAAGGCCGTAAAGCTGCCTCAAAAAATGTTGATCTGTTTTTAATCAGCACTAATTACCCACGTGGGTAGCCTCGGCGGCTTCTACTCCTGACAGGCGGGTATGACTTAGGAAGAAGACCGTGTGGGGACGTTCCCAAGGGGAGAATAAGACTGGAGTTAGATGAGAGTGTGGAAGACCACCACCACCTAGTTTGAGTCCCTAAGAGCAAGCTGGGGCGCCATGGGCCATCTCGCACTTGGTGCTGAGCGGAACACTGACACTGGGGCTCCGGAGAGTGTCCACAAAGTCTTGCCTGAGTGCTTGTCAGTCACCCTCTGGACAGGGTCACTCTCTGGCACTCTGCCCTAGTGTTGCAGGTCTCAGCCATGATTCACTGTCCTTGTGGGAAGACCCAGGAAATTGCCTTCCCACAAAACCCTGCTCCCTGACTCAGATACTCAATAACTCCCCATGCCCAGTAGATAACATCTTCCCTCCACACTCGGTCTTTCTTTCCGGCGATTCATTGGCACACATACTGTACACATTACCTCAGAGCTACTGCTGCAGTCTTCGGGCTCAGGGACGGCGTGGTGGTTTTCCATTCACACTCTCCAGACGCTACCGGTGAATGCTCAGTGTGCCTGCTGCTGACTTTCTTCCTTTGCTTCAGAAAGGAAGGGGACACGCGTTCCTAAGAAAGTTCTAGAGACGTCCCCGCCCCAATTCACAATCCAATGTGTCACTTTTCGACTGATTTCCTGCAGAGCCCCTCTCTCTGGCTACCGTCCTAGTTTTCATTTCTGTTGCTGTGATAAAATACCCTGACAAAAAGGAAGTTAGGGGAGAGAGGGCTCATTTCCACTCATATTCTAGGTTATATAGTCCATTGTTGAAGGGAAGACAGGGCAAGGACTCAAGGCAGCTTAGTCACATCACATCCAAGAACAGACAGCCATATCCACTCATCCACATGGTTCCTTCCTGTTCCTTGAGTCCCTCCTCCGGGCCAATCTTCTGTAACCCTGATTTCTCTCTTCCCACCAGTGTATATGTGGCTTCTGGGGACTCCCGTTTCCTTGGTTACAGAGTAAAGGAACTGAATTGAGGGCCAAGGGCCCTTCTAGCTCTATAGGAAACAGACTTCACAGACCAGTGTCCCAAGATAGATAGCACAGAGGAAGGACTGCCTCGATGCAAGATCTAGGGCAGAGGCCCTGGAACTGGAAGGGGTGGGGGGAGGCTGGGAGTGAAGAAAAACAGCCTGGATCTGAACAGAAGTCAGGCTCTGCAGCTGGCCAGCTGTGTGTACCTCCCCAGCCTTTCTGTGCCGTGCTGCGAGGGTCAGAGAAGGGTATGCCATGCCTTGGGATGGTCTCAACGCTGTGAGAGCACTGAATATACACACACCAGCTGCACACAGGGTCTGGTCGTGATCGTTGTCAAGTCATCCTCAAAGGGGCACAACTCAGCTCCAGGAACGACACGTCTTTACAAAATGTCGGGAAAGCAAGAAGGAAGGAGGCCCGATTGACTAGCTTTTCAAACTATGGATTTCAAGACCCGGACATGACCCAAAATATATACGTGACGGTGAAAAATGAGCCCACTGCCCTCCCCTTCCCCCCAGTTTGGATCCAACGACATAAATTCCTGTTCTAAACTCAATACTAACAGCATACTTCCGGTTTTGATGCTCCTGTTTAGTTAGTTGGGATAATATGCACAAATGTAACAGAAAGGCAGAATGACATCAAGCCATCCTATTAGAGCTGAAATTCTGGAAGAGAAAGTGTTACAGAGACAGGACTCCCCAGGAAAAGACCACCAGACTTCATTCAGATTACAATTGCCCAAATTTATTAAAGCTGCCAGTCTCTAAGGCAAATCACAAGTGCACCAAGTAAAAAGGGGATGATGCTTAAAGGCAAAAAACCACAAGAAAACCTTGAGTATCTGTACAAGCAGCCAAGAGCTGCTCTGCTCTGCCAAGCTTAGATACAGAAGGCAACCTCAGAGTAGTCATTGACTGCATAGGTAGATTACAACCCCCAAAAGAGCAGATGTTCACACTCTATATTTCTGGGTGGCAGTCACTGAGTCAAGGCTACTGGGAACTTATCTTCCAGGGACTGGAGTCAGAGGCAAAGGACTAGTGGGGTATCAAGATGACTAACACAAAGTGGAGTTTCTTTAGCCATCACAAAAGCATTGAAGAAGCCGGGCAGTGGTGGTGCATGCCTTTAATCCCAGCACTCGGGAGGCAGAGGCAGGTGGATCTCTGTGAGTTTGAGGCTGGGCTGGACTGACAGCCTCCAAAACAATACAGAGAAACCCTGTCTCGTAGAAAAAAAAAGCATTGAAGTTTGCAGGAGGCCCTGGGTTCCATGCCAAGCACCAAAGTCAGAGGAACTCAACATAAACTGCTTACCCTGGGAAGCAAATAACGGGGGAAATCCAGTGACAAGCACAGAGGGAGGCAGTGTGGGTATTTTTTCAACGAGCATACAATTTAAGGAAAATCAACCAAGAAATGGGAATGAATTGATCTGGGGTTTGTCATCACATCTGTTACAGGTTGCTCAAACCCCTTGGTAGTAGGTCCCAAGCAAAATGATGGTTAGAAGTTAAATTCAGCAGTTACCTGAAAGGCAGAATGTCTGACTCCAATAAAAGAGTTCCTTTCCACCAACAGTTAACAGTCAGGTCACCAATGAGATTAATCTCCCACCAGGGCTCAGTCTTGTCAAATCCCTCTCCTAAGGTTCTGCACAATATGTCATTCTAGAACTGGTCTCTGTATGGAGGTGTGGGTTCGAATCCCACTTCTGACACCAGATAATGATGATACAGCCGATGCTATAGGGGATACAATATATTTATTTACCAGAGAGAGAGTCACACAAGCTAGGAGTTCAAAGCTCAGCTGGCTTCCAAAAGAGGAGGTCCTTTTTCCTTTCGCTTCCTTTTATCTCTACCTGTGCTAATTTACTTGTCCCCGCCTTCATGGGTGGATAGCTTTGTGAGGCTCACTCCTACAGCCCTTAATAATTTAACGTTTTGGAGTTTACAGACACTTCCAAAGTATTTAATAACGAGGTTGGTTCGTGTGAGCTCCTCTCCTGTGTGGTCCTCACCCATTCACCAATCACTAAAGTTGCTAGGCAAGAACTGGGGTGGTGTGAAAATGAGAAGGCCAACAGCTTTCCTTCTAGTCTTTTTCTTACATTTTGCTCTGATAAGAGCTTTGTTTTAGTCTTTATGACTCTCAGCGAGATCTTATGATTTGTACTATGATTTCATTGTGCAAAAAAAGAGAAAACAACTTTGAAGGTAGAGTTGGTTTTTCGAGTCAGTGTTATTTATCTTAAATGCTTCAAGTTCATATAAAAGGAATGTTTTACTGCACAGTCCTGGTGAACTTCTGAATTTTTCAAAACTGCTAATAAGATCAAAAGATGTGTTTATTAACTCTTGAGCCATTCAGCCCTTGCTGTTTCTATTCAAACTGTGAAACACTCATTTAAGGAGACTCGTCATGGTCTACCCTAAAGAAATCATGGGTTTGATTGGTAACAAAAACAGCTGAAGCCAGTTCGAAGGGCAGAAAGTCTGCTGGAAAGTGCATGTCTTAACCACTTGGGAAGCGGAGGTTTATTTAATCTTGCACTTCTGGTTAACAGTTTGGCAGTTCGGTTAATAGTTCCTTGCAGAAGGGAGTCTCGGCAGGAACTTAAAGCAGAGCATGAACCTGGAGGCAGGAACTAAAGCAGAAGCCATGAAGGAATGGCTTACAGACCGGCTCCACACAACACAGCTTAATCAGGTTTCTTAATACAACTCGGGACCGACACTGTGGGGTGGGATGGGCCTTCCCACTGTGGGGTGGGGTCTCCTGGGCCCTCCCACAGCAATCACTAATCAAGAGAGACCCCACAGACTTGCCTATAGGCCACTATTTTCTCAGTCGTGGCTCCCTCTTTTCAGGTAACTCCTCTGTGTCAAGTTGACATAAAACTAACAAGCACAATTTACCCCTTGTAAATTTGAAACACAAACGCATCGCTGTTCAACTAAAGCATTTCCTTTCTCATTTGTCCCCAAGATGGCAAGCTAATATTAATACCACAATATAAAACATTGCAACTTTTAAAAGTCCCAGTCTTTTGTTTTTTTGTTTTGTTTTGTTTGAGATAGGGTTGTTCCGTATAACCCAAGCTGTCCTGGAACTCGCTCCGTAGTCCAGGCTGGCCTCAAACTCAGAGATCCGATACCTGCCTCGGCATCCTGAGTGCTGGGATTATAGGTGTGTACCATCAAGCCTGGCTGTAGTCCAGTCTTTAAAACTTCAAACACTTTAAACGTGTCATCTCTAAAACACTTATTTTCTCCAATTTCAAACCCTCTCCATACAAAACGGCACTAAAATATATAAAGTCTCTCTAAAACACCAGTCTCTCTGAACTGTGGTCTCCGGTTAAAAATCAGAAATAAGTTACATACCTTCTTGTGCCAGGAGAAGAATCAGGGCACACCCACAATCAAATCAATGCAAAACCAAGCTCCAGCAATGTGAACTCCATTGGTGTTCGCTGCCTGGGATTCACTCTTGATTTTCTGAGCTCCAAAGGGCTTGAAGATCCACACATATCTGGTTCTGCCATTCACAGCACACACAGCTTGTCTCATAGGCTCAGATCAGCTCCACCACACAGCTGCAGCTGTCCTTGGTGGCCATGAGATGGTACTGGATTCTCCAAAATGCTGGGTGTTCACTGTAACTACGTTGCTCCTTCACCGACAGCCTCTCCTGGACCTTCTCCAGCGGTGCGAGCCTCAGCCTCTCTCACCATGACCCATTCAACCCTCTCACCCTACCTCACCTCAGCTGCTTTCCATGGCCATTCCTTTAAAACTAGTACCACGTGGGAATCTCTTGCACATTATCAAGTTCAGCTGCTACGAGAAGGTGCAACCTCGGCCGCCTCTGAACACAACTACTGTGCGCTGACTCCAAGGCACAGGCATACCCAGAAGTGTGGTTCCCTAAGATCCCAGGTGTCTCCCTGTGCAACTGAGTTGATAATGACAATTGGCCGTCAATGGAGAGTTTACGCAGAATGGGAATTTCTGTCATCAAGTGCATTTCAGAGCCCTCTGGGAAATGTGGGCTTGAGACAAAAGTGAACAGGAGAGTAGGAAAGTGTGTGTACAACAATGGGTCCTTCCAGACACTAATTATTACGCCTACCTTTCCTCGCTCCTGCCTTCAAGAATAGCAATAGCCAGAGCTGGAGAGAAGGTTCCGCAGATCAGAGCGCTTGCTGCTCTTGCAGAGGACCGGCATTCATTCCCAGCACCCACATCGAGTGGCCCACAACTGCCTATAACTCCAGTTCTGAGGGGATACAACACCTTCCCCTGGCCTCCGAGGGCACGGCACTCACACAGTGCACATATAGACAAGCCAGCCCACGCATAAATAAAATAAGTCTTTATGAAGAGGCGAGGAGAAGGTGGTAACAAGGGAATCTACACAGAATTGTGTCTTTAACATCACCTAAATAAGGATTCCTTTGGAATTTTTTGTTGTTGTTGTTTAAGTCATTGAGAACTCGCCAAGGCAACGGTAAGATGAGAGCCTGAGATTCCCTTCCACGTTCCAGTTTCCGGAGGGCAGAAACATCACTTGCCAGTCCTGACAGCAAAGGCTGTGATTAGGACCGTGCATGTTTGGCTTTGTCCCCGTAAAATACATCTTGACATAGGGTAAACACATGCTGGACACAGAGAAGGGCATGTGGAGATGGTATTTTCACTGCAAGAACTCATTCATCACATGTTAAGTGGCAGTTCCTTCCCCACATAAAACCAAAGTGACACCATATATGCAACTCAGTTTTCTGTCTCTCTCCTAAGTTTTCAGAGATTCTCCTAGTGAATCCTTGCAGAGTGGAAGCCACATGATTGGACAGATGGCTCGGAAAGAAAACATGAGGCACAAAAGTAAATAGGAAAGGACAAAAACCACAGAATTAAACCATGTGGGTCTGCGTGGCCATTTAAAACTTATCAGGGCTAACACTGGATTGAAACCATGTGTGTTGACTTGAAACCACATCTAGAACCAGTTGATTGGTATAAACATAGCTCACCTGGAGTCCATGCTCTCTGAGGGCTGCCACAGCATTTCCAAACTGCTGTCAAAATACTAATGCCAGAGGTTTATTCAGGGTGAGGAGTGTCAGGAGGTAATTTTACTCCAGTTAATTTGGTAGTAGCCAAGCTGGGGAGTTATGCAGATACCATCATCCTTGGATGGGAGAAAACTGAGGCTGGTTAGCCCATTAGCTAGCTCATCAGCCTCACTGTACTGAATCCAACCCTACCTGGTCTCCACCCTTCCCAAAGGCTATGAACCCGGTGTGACTGAAAGAGGAATCATTCCCCCGAGGAGCTGCATACTCTTTCTCAGGCAGCCTGCTGCGCAAGGCAGGGGAAGACAGCAATTAGACAGAGCAGGGGCTCTCTGAGCTTGAAAGAGCAGATGGCGCAAACCTCACTTTGTACTTGTTTGCTAATAAATATTTGTACTTCCAACTGCATTTTTATTCAAGTCTTGATTTCCGTGTTACAGCCCATCTGGCTCCAGACACCACTGACCAGCAGTGTTTCTGAAGGTCGTGCATCTCAAAGCAGCCCGGCTAGCTTAAGTGAATTCCTAAAAACAGGACTCCAGTATTTGGAATTTGCAATGACCCAATGACAGGACTGTTTTGTAAATCAGCCTTTCAGGACCACTGGGAAAACTCTAGACTTTCAAACCTACTAAAATTCCTTTTGACACTATTAAAATTTACCCAGTGGACTCTAATCACTTATATACAGATACTATACAAAGAAAACCACAAACCTTATTTGATGGGGAGTGGGAGTTCTTTGTTTCTTTTTCTTTAATTCATTCATTGTGTGTGTGTGTGTGTGTGTGTGTGTGTGTGTGTGTGTGTGTAATAGCTCAATGTCATCGCCATACAATTGTTAGTTTTATTCTTTGCCTTTGCTTTTAGTCAAGCATCTTTGTTTCTACCACCTTGAAGGAATTTTCTATGAAAAAACCCTCATAATGTGTTCAGTTCTCATTGCCTCTTTATCATGTCTTGAAGCTTCATATCGATCGATCCTGTAAAGTTTCCTGGCAACATGGCTCAGTGGCTAAGAGCACTTGCTGCTCTTACAGAGGGCCCAGGTCAGTTCCCAGCACCTACATCAGGTGGTTCACAGTTGTCTGTAGCTACAAGTACTCTTTCCTTTTCTTTTTTTTTTAAGTAAAGGATTTTTAAAGTATACTTTTAAGATTTGTTATTTTCCTTTGTGTGTATAAGTGTTTAGCCTACCCATGAGACTGGTACCCATGGAGGTCAGAGGAAGGCATCAGATCCCCTGGGACTGAAGTTACAGATGGTTGTGAGCCACCATGTGGGTGCTGGGAATTGATCCTGGGTCTTCTGCAGTAGCAACAAATTCTCTTAACCACTAAGACACCGCTTCAGCCCTCTCCAGCCCTCTTTCTAACAAGCCTCTTCTGTGGTCAGCTGCATTCATGTGCATATATACTCTAGATGGGTACAGACATATACACACCTCAAAAAATTTTTTTTTCAAAAAATTAGATACTTATTCATAGAAGTCTCTTTCTGGGGCGGATGTCTTTGATGTCATGTGCGGTTTTATTTCTCTGTCTGTTGCCACAAGCGATGAATCAGTTATAGTTCCATTTAAGTGAAGAGGAAAGCTGTCCCCATGCTTTCTTTTGCAGAAGCGAGTTGTTCTTTCAAGTGACAACCTATGATAGTAGCTTGCTTTATTTATTTGCTTGTTTACCCAAGTTCTGTAATCTGAGCTAGCCTCAAACTCCCTCCGTAGCTGAGAATGAGCTTCTTACCCTCCCACCATGCCCATTTTAGGCAGGACTGGGAATTAAACCCTGAACTTCCTGCTGGCTGGGCAAACATTGTCAACTGAGTTACCCCTCCAGCCCCTACAAGGAGTTTCTTAGACACTTCTTCAAATGTAAAATAATCTATTATACCTTTATCCCCATGCATCTCAGTAGTAAGACACAGGGCTTTGCCCAAAGAGATACAGCATGTTTTGATTACAGATTTTGTTTCGAATGAATATGGTTGAATGGCAGGGATCAAGTCCTCCATGAAAGCACCTTTCCAAGAAGCTGTTACACAAATATGTCTTTATCTCCTCTTTTAACCATTAAAATGGAAACTTTCTGAGTTTACTGTTTCTTTCATGTGGCTTGAAGTAAGTCAGGAATTAGCATCTTATTATTGGAAAAGATTTGTATAACTGGTGAAAATCTGGCTGCCTTTGAGAAATCCAGTTTTTAAAGCATTTAGACCTCTGTCAAGTAAGCAAACCACTGTGTCCTGTGGGGTAGTTTTTCCTTATGGATTTCAGGTTGCAAAGCGAATAGCCTATTTTCTATGTGTTAGTCAATAAATGATAGAAAAACTGAGGTGTGTTTGCAAATATAAGTAATCTGATTTCAATTTGCCTTCATTGCAACCTCTCAGTGAAAAAGAGTTTGGACACAGAAAAGCTTTATTTGGAATTGTCTAAAATAACCTGGGGTGTAAAGGTTCAATTTTGGCTCCCAGGGGTCTACTGTCTCATTTAAATTTTGTCAGTAAAGTTTGGAGCTAAATCAGGCAATGAGCCCCAGGCATGGCACCCTGCTGTGCAAACTTCCAAACCATCATTTCCTCCAACTCAGCTTTTGTCCAGTCATTTTGGGAATACAGAGAAAGTTGTGGCTCCCTCCCTGTCTGTCTCTGCATTTGAGACATGTGTGGCTTGTGCTTACTTGTGTAGATCTAAACCTGGGTCTCCACCAGAGGCACAAGCATTTAGCTGTAGCATGAATAATCTAGCTTCCTACGTTATTAATCTTTAATCTGTGTCTCTGCATGGCCATCTGGGTCTTCCAGTTTATACATTTGCATCTGCCTGTTAATCTGCCTCCATCTTTGCTTCCTTGGCTGTACGCCAAGCTCTGGAAGCTGAGCTATGGGGAAGACAGATAAAGAAGCTTCCAGGACACCCAGTCTGGGTGCTGTGACTCATCTGTGATAATTTGTAGGCTGAGAGAGGCTGCTGCTCTCCTATGAACTATTTAGCTACATGTGTGGCTCACACTTGGTCACCTTGGAGACTGTAGCAAGAATATGGAGAGAAAAGGTCAGCCATTTGAGGTTCCCGAAGATGCTTTTCTATAGCTCCCCAAGCCAAAAAGGGAAATTCAAGCCCAGCCTTCTGGCCACAGGGGAGACAATAGCATCCTTCTGCTTCTAGTTTCATCTCTGCTGTTCAGTTCAAAAGCAGTTTAGGGGACAAAGGGTTTATTTCAGGTTACAGATCAAGGTCCATCACTAAAGGGAAGTCAGAGCAGAAACTGAGTCAGAAGCTCAGGCAGAAACCATGGAGGAAAAACCTTTGCTGGCTTGCGCATGGGTTCATGCTTAGCTAGATCTCTTACACAGCCAGCACTACCTGTCCAGGGAAGGTGTTGTCCACAGTGAGCTGGCCTGTCCTATATCGATTATCAAGAAAATCCACACAGACGTGCCTATAGGTCAATTAGGTCTGTTGAATCCTTCAGTTTGTAAGAGTAGCAGTAAAGGCCCCAATAAAGAAAAATAAATCCTTCTGGTGAAGAAAATAGAATCTCTGGCTGGACAGTGACCTAACAGTCCAGTTGGGCCAGGTCAACCACCAGGGGAAAGGACCATCCCTAGGAAAGTGGGCTCACCTTGGCTATGCTAAAGAGACAGAAGAAATCATTTTCCTGTACTTTCCTTCCCA